CCTATTCAACCAAGATCATCTAATATCTATCAATAACATCTATGTAAAAGTAATATATTTCCTATTCAACAAGATTAACAGCAATAATAAATTATATAAGAAATACATTTATACAAAATTAATGTTTCCGTGCCACACAGGTAACAACAATAATCAATCCTATTGCAATGATAATTCCTGTAAAAACAAGATCCGTTTTCTATACCCACGCCCACTAAAGAAAAGTACTTCCCTCTCCGCAGACCCTGAAGAAACTAAGGAAAACTTAAAAACTAAAACTAAAGAAAATAAAACTAAAAACTTTTAAAGAAAAACTTAAAACTTTAAAACTAAAGAAAAACTAAAACTAAAAACTAAGACTAAAAGCTAAAAGCTAAATCTAAAACTAAAACTAAAATTAAAGAAAACTAAAGAAAACTAAAGAAAACGTACTTCCTCTCCGCAGACCCTGAAGAAAACTAAGAAAACTAAAACTAAAACTAAAGAAAACTAAAACTAAAACTAAAGAAAACTAAAACTAAAACTAAGACTAAAAGCTAAATCTAAAACTAAAACTAAAATTAAAGAAAACTAAAGAAAAAAACTGAAAACACTCCTCTCCACAGACCCTGAAAGAAAACAAAACTAAACACTAAAGAAAACCTAAACTAAACTAAAACTAAAAACTAAAACTAAAACTAAAGAAAACTAATGAAAACGTACTTCCTCTCCACAGACCCTGAAGAAAACTAAAACTAAAACTAAAGAAACCATAAACTAAAACTAAAACTAAAAACTAAAACTAAAACTAAAGAAAAACTAATTAAACTAAACTAAAACTAAAACTAAGAAACCACTAAGACTAAACCTTAAAACTCCTAAAAACTAAACTAAAAATTGAAAACTAAAACTAAAGAAAAAACAATAAAACTAACACTAAAACTCAAAACCTCTAAAAAACTAACACTAAAGAAACCAAAACTAAACTAAAACTAAAAACTAAAAAACCATAAACTAAACTACTAAAAACTAAAAACTAAAAACTAAAACTAAAGAAAACCATTAAACTAAACTAAAACTAAAAACTTAAAGAAACCAAACAACTAAACTAAAACTAAAACTAAAACTAAACTAAAACTAAAACTAAAACTAAAAGAAAACTAACTAAAAAACTTAAACTTCCTCTCCATAACCCTAAAGAAAAACTAAAACTAAAAACTAAACGAAACCATAAACTAAACTAAAACTAAAAACTAAAACTAAAACTAAAAACTAAACTAAAACTAAACTAAACTAAAACTAAAACTAAAGAAACCATAAACTAAAACTAAAACTAAAACTTAAAAACTAAAACTAAAAACTAAAGAAACCATAGACTAAACTAAAACAAAACTAAAAAACTAAAACTAAAACTAAAGAAAACTAATGAAAACGTACTTCCTCTCCACAGACCCTGAAGATGTCAGCTCTCGAACGCATCACGACAGCCGTCATTTTCGTGCTTCTTGTGACGGTAAGTGTCGTGACATGACTGCATGTCTTTGCTCACGTCTTCTCTCCTTTCTCACCCCTTACACTATTGCCCTAATTTCGTGTTACGCGCGAGGCATTCGTCACAGCTGCCTTCGTCTTCATATCACACGTCTTCTCTTATTTTATGATGCTTTTTGTTATTCTTTCTCGTCTCTTTTTGTTTTATTATTATTATTGTTTTTTTTTTTTTTTTTTTTTTGTTACATCTTTTCGATCGTTTTCGCTTGTTTTGAGATACATTTGGAGACCGTGACTTGCTGTTTTATGTTCTGATTTTTTGGGTGAATTTCCTGCATGGGTTTAGAGGAAATTCCGAGAGAGAGAGAGAGAGGAGAGAGAGACGAGAAGAGAGAGAGAGAGAGAGAGAGAGAGAGAGAGAGAGAGAGAGAGAGCGAAGAGAGAAGAGAGAGAGAGGAAAGAAAGAAAGAGAAAGAGAGCGAGACGAGAGAGAGAAGAGATACAAGCGTGTGTGCGCGGCGCCGTGATGTGTGAGACATGAGAGAGAGGAAGAAGAGAGGAGAGAGAGAGAGAGGAAGAGAGAGAGAGAGAGAGAGGAGAGAGATAGAGAGAGAGAAGAGAGAAGAGAGAGAGAGAGAGACAGGAGAAGAGAGAGAGAGAATAGGAGAGAAAAGATGAGGAGAGGGAGAGAAGAGAGAAGAGAGAGAGAGAGAGACAGAGAGAGAGAGAGAGATGAGAGAGAAGAGAAGAGAGAGAGAGAGAAGAGAGAGGTAGATGAGAGAGAGAAGAGAGAGAGAGAGAGACGAGAGAGAGAGGAGAGAGAAGGAGAGATAGAGAGAGAGAGAGAGAGAGAGAGAGAGAGAGAGAGAGAAGAGAATAAAGAGAAGAGAGCGAGAGCGAGAGCGAGGAGGAAGAGATA